ACTTGTCTCATCTTCAACATGATTGAATTACACTAGTCAAGGTTACTCAATGGAACTTCTCGAATTTAATCAATAGTGAACAACAAATAAAACACCTACTCATTTAGAATCACCATATTTACATAATAAAATTTAAACTTTAAATTGATACATTAAGGAAAATAAGATGTAACTGATCAATGAGTGATGGTACACATATCTGGTTATATGAAATATAAAACAAAATTTTCAAGAATAAACCGATTTCACTCTGATTCGATCGGTTTTAACTACGTTTTACCTTGTATCAATAAACTGTCAATCTGGTTTAATCTGATTCTTGATTGTTAGTCAAATAATTGAATTTCATTGATTTTGTGATTCCACCAACGTTAGACCACCATTGAAAACTTGGAAGCATTGGATGGCCTTTTCTCCTTGTTGTGGCATTGTGCATCCAAGATCCTGCACGTGGCGTGCTGGCTCAGTGGTTTAGAGGTAAAGCGTTCGCATGTGGGACCAAAAATTCTGTGTTCGGCTCCCGTATGCAGGTTCATGGATGAGCACTTCTAAGGAGTTTCATATTAGAACGAAATGGCAATTTAATGCTTCCCGATTTCCACTAGTGGCCTAACATTGATCTGTTCAATGTAACTTATCAATCTCTACATCCGTATACTTATTTATTTTATCTATTTGAACACATAGATATTGGTACAAGGAGGCACCAAATACATATGTGCAACACAAATCTCATTTTATATGTGTGAGGGCTGCGATACTCACCGGGTGCCCAAACCGAAGCAAGTGGTTTTCTTGGGGAGCCATACCCAGAGCCTTTGACCTAAAGGTCTGATCCACAAGGCAGTGGAGCATCGTAAGGAGATGTAGTCCCATGGTAGCTGGTGACCAACGATTGGTCCAAACGCCATTTGTTTCTTCAGGATACTGAAGCCAGTCCATTTGCACCATTGGTTTGGAATGAGCGTTTTCCAACTCCCCTAATTGAACTCTCAGTGTCCACCAATCCGATGACAGCGCCGGCCATTCGCTTTTCGTCCTCTCAATTTTGTAAACATCACCCGTTGTACGAGAAGTCAATGAGTAGTACTTGTCTGACAGAGGCTATAATAGAATATTTCTGTTTTGTTATTTTATGGTCCTAAACTATTCATAAGAATTACTAATGACATATGTATATTAAGGTTTAATTGCTTTATCAACAATAACATTGACAACTGATTTAATAATTAAGAATTTTTTATTGTTGTTATTTTGGCTTACAATTATAGAATTGAAGTATATTGTTGAATAGGTTCAAAGTATTTTTGTATTGTAAAAGTCAATAACAGTTTAGAAAAGTGTTGACAGATATTTTACACAATTAGAATTGAATAGAAACTTCTTAGAAATATCTAGAAAGTGAAGTGTTACGTGTTGTATTTGTGATCGGATATTTACCTACTACCTACTAATTATATTTAGTGTGGTTTCAGGAACTTCCAGAATTCTATGATCATCTGTAATACGGTAAATACTCTCATTTTTCTGTACATAAACCATCATTGAAATAAAGCATTCTTTTTACGCTTCACGTTTGTGCTTATTTTGTCGTGTAGATTTAGCATGGGGTTATTAGAGGCGACTAGGAAATCGTATTGAGTGTTCATTTAGAAGACTTACCACATATATTGTTAAGTTTACAAGTGGTTAATATGAGTAAAGTGTGTGTGGTACTTATCAATCATGATTACTTAATAGACAGTGATAATATTGTGTCATTGAAGTGTATCACATTGTAAGATGGCTAGATGAGTTAAAAGAAAAGAAATCCTGAATATAAGTTTCATTCTAGGTGGGATTCGTTAGTGAAATATTTGCATGCTTGGGAAACTTGGAGCTCTTCATGCTATTCTTTTATAACAGAAATGTTTATAGAAACCAATTAGTTAGGAGTGATAGATGTTAATAATTGTCTATGACAAGTTTTATTCTCTCAGGCAGTTTCAATTCTTTCACAGATGTCTCGTGCTCGAACGGCTAACCTCTAGATCACTGAGCCAGGATAGTTGCTTAAATTTCGGAAACTTATTTTTGATTATCACAAATAATAAGTTCAAGATCAACTTGTTGAACGGAGGGTAACATTGCCACATGGTCATTTACACTGGATTTCCATATGATGTTACTCAGTCAAATTGCTATATTGTTAGTAAACGAGATATACTACTAACTAATTAACAGTAGCTGTATGTTGTTTACGTCTTACGGGCAATTGTGTTTCTCAGTTTAAATCACGAACTGATCTTAGATAGACCACCATTAAAATCCCGAGAACACTGGACGTTTATTTCGTCACGTTATGAGACTCTATGGGAGTGCTTATCCGCAATCTCAAATATGGGAATTGAACCCAGGAAATTTGGTCTCACGCGCGAAGACTTAACCTCTAGACAATTGAGCCGGGATTTAATTCTGTAAATGTTTAAGACCAACCAATTTTTGCACAATGCTGATACTCAGAATCATTTTTGACCAGTTTCTATTAAAAATATAGTCGCTTTGAGTGACTGTTTCAATATTTTATAAAGTTGAAAGTCCTGTTATATTTTTGGATATTGGTTAGCAATGAAATCCAAGATTTTTTATTCACCAATATATATACTTTTATTGAGCTTCATGAGGTAGATAGTTGAAGTTCGATGCCTTCATTTTTGTTAGAAATTACATTTTCATCCCTTTAGTTGTGTAGATGACGACGTGTTCCAAAGCTAATAATAAGAGTTCACTAACTAAACCATTTAGCCTTAAGAACTAAACAACACCAAAAGCATACACATGAACTTCAACTCTTATGTATCATTTCCATGAGGATGCTTACTGATTACTTTGTTACAGAAATCATACATGACTAGAATACATGAAACTGACTTATTAGCTTCTAGAAAACAAAATTTGTCAAAGTGTTGCAAGGAGATGATGTTCATGATTGCTCACCTATGAATAAACTTGGAATAAACTGTATCGATTATGAACCAAGCTATAGATTGTGCCTCGTGTTTACTGCGAAAAAGTATCTCATTTTCTAAAAGGAGATGATAATGGATAGTAACATTTGAAATTAACAGTTGTAACTTCTGGTTGTGAAATACTAGGTAACGATGGCTTTTATCCCACAGGGAACATTAGCTTGGACAATAGTCCACACTTGTCAGTTATAAGCGACGTAGAACCTAACATATAAGTGAGTTAATTCAAGTTATAAAATCACATTGGTACAGCAAGATTAAATTATTAAAACAATATCAATAATAACTGAAATTATTACACATAGATAATAGGATTTATGAAGAAAGAATGAATTCTCGAACTGATGTCAAGTTTTGGTCTAATCATCTATAGCTTCCCTTAAACCTACTCTTATATTAGCTGTTATTGCGAGGTATGTGATATTTGAGGTTAGGGATATATAGTAAATGTTTCAAACAACCTCATTTGTTTAAGATTCACTATATTGTCAACCGATTTACTACACATACCTTGTAAACAAAAGTTAACTAACACAAAATTTTGATGAAGCAGTGCTTTCACTTGATTGTTTTCAATTATCTAACGTTATAAAACATTGAATCTATTCACTGTGTATCAAAATTAACATTTAAAAAATTCAATTTATCTCAGTTTTCTTGTACATTAATGATAAGTCTTGAGGATTGAACGCTGTATTCGTCTCCTAAGGTATTCTGTAACCCCCAAGCTAGAACTATACAGCGACCTGAACACGAGAGAGAAGACTCAAAGTATGCGAGAAGTACTTTACTCCAAGGTTCCATTTTAATACAGAAAATACAGGGTTTCTAAAATATTTTAAATGTCCTTGGGTTGCTAGAAGATTCTGGAATGCTACTAAATATAGTAGCAGTGTAGCAGCCGACCAGTTAGATTCTCTGCATGTGACTTTTCGCTCCCTTAATATTTTTGGCTAAGACTTCAAGTGAACGCTGATTGAATGAAACGCTTCTTAGTGTTTCCTGATGCTTGCTTGTCTTTTGCAAACAATTTTCTGGATCACCCAAAAATTAATCAGTTGTTGTTGTTCCTTTCTACATTTAAGTGTGACCATAAAGTTTTTAGTACATAATTTCAGTGTTAAATCTAAACAGTATATTTAATAATGATAAACTAACATCTTTTAAATATATGAATTCACGAGTCAATTAAAGCCAGACCACGATGGTAAACCCGGAAGAACCGGATGACCGTTTTGTCCTAGCACAGGACTCCTCAAATTTCAACTATCTGAAAAACTAGTTATCTGGTGAATAAAAACAATCCTATTCAATCTTGTTCCATTAATTTGAAAAATAATTTCTTCTACACAACGAAACTACCTTGTAAACTTTCTGTTTTTTTTACATTGCAAACAATTAATTATTCAATCAACTCATAGTCAATTAAGCCAATCATTTTTCATAAAAGGGTTTTATGGATATTATAGTAATTTTTATTAATTGAATTTATGAATCAATTAAGGCTAGTCCACCATGGAAAATCTGCGAGCACTGGATGGTTGTTTCGGCCTAATGTCGAACTCCTTAGCAGTGCGCATCCACGATCCCGCACGCGAGATTCGAACCGAGGACCTATCAGTCCCGCGCGCAAACGCTTAACCTCTAGACCACTGAGCCGACCGGCATCCAATGGTGTTAATGTCTAACTTCAATTAATCCATGAAATTGAGCAACGCATCCACCATTGTCATCAGTGAGTTACTATCTCACAATTGACCCGGCTGAACTCCACTGGTCACTGCTTCTCACTAGAACTGCAGGATATACCTCTTGATGCCAATCACTAGTGAGTATTTGTTGATTAATATCAGAAGAGGTTTTTTGGATATTATAGTAATTTTAACAGTTGAATTCATGAGTCAATAAAAAAAAGTGTTCAAATATATATTTCTTATGACTTTTTTTCCCTCTCTCTCTCTATTTTTTCGTTTATTAACAATTAAAATATAGATCTCATTCAAATGAACCAAATCAAAAAATTGAACAAACAATTATAACAACAGAACAACATTCAACTATTCATATACAAATTGATCAAACAATAAAAAATACATGTACTTTAAAACAATCAGAAGTTGAAATCAATGAAACAGAACAACAACAACAAAATGAGTTTCCAAATCAATCAAATAATCCCATTCATCAAAATATCAATAATGATAGTACCAATTTACCAATGATAAATAATCAAAACATCATTATAGTAAATGATGAACAATTAAATAATAAACATAAACCTGAATTTATCGATGAGGATATGGTAACAGTGAAGGAAAATATTATTTCACCTATTAATAATGATATACTACTTAAAAATACTGAACAAATGATAACTGATTTAATTGTTTCTAATCAAAATGAGAATAATTTCATTGAATCATTAAAACAAATCGATATTGAAATGAATAATGAATTGAAATCATCAATTACAGATCAAATAAGATCAAGTAGTTTGGATAAGAAATCAATTAAAAAATCTAAAAAAAACAAAAAAATTTATTATCATTAGAGAAAACTACATCTGAAATCACTATGGATACTAATCTCTCATTAAATGTAGAAAGTATTTCATTATATGATGAACATAATGAATTCATAAGTAGTATCATTACATCGGATATAAATAATTCTGGAATAAATATTACTGATATAACATCTATTACTACTACTACTACAACTACAACTACAAGTAGTATTCAAAATGAAATCTCTTCATTACAATTCAATATCAATGATAATCCATCATCTATAAACAATGTACTTGAAGTAGATCCACAATACAATAAGGAATATATTGAAAACTCTATGAAACATTTAAAGAAAACTCAAAAATCAATAAATAAAGAAAAAGATCTAAAAGAACAATCTGAAACAAATATTCAACCTTTAAATTCTTCATTTATATCTGAATCAACAGATAATGAACATAATGAACCCAGTGACATAACATTATCTTCCGTAGAGATATCGATCCATAAAGAAGATCCTGTTAGTTTACATGTTTTACAAAATGAACAACAAATGTCTACATCTACTCATCTTTTGACTGAATCAAATCAATTCACTGAATGTTGTTTATTCAATGAAACTAATCAACAAAATGATCCAGAATTGGATCATGAAATTATACAGAACAATGAAATTTCTAAACAAACTATAGAAAAATCGAATAAAAAATCAAGTAAAAAGAAACAATTTATAGATCAAAAAATATCAATAAATGATCCTATACATTCTCAATCAATAGGCTTGATCAATCAACAATCGAGTCAATTTATTACTGAAAGTTTATCAACATCAGAATTGTTAATTATTCCACAAGAGATTCAATCTATATCAAAAACACCTCAAGGAATTAATGAAGAAGCTGACACTAATGATAATAAGAATGTTGAACTATTATCACCATCAGAATTAACTAGTGATGAGAAATATTTTCAAAAAGGATCAAAAAAATCTAGAAAAAAACATGAAAAGAAACATTCTGATATTGATAATACTATAGAACAAGACTCATGTATAATTGTTCATGAAGTATTACCTGAGGAGGAGAAGAGGATGACGAAGAAGAAGAAGAAGAAGAAGACGAATACAACAGACTCAAAAAATGATCATTTACAAGTGGTAAACATGTTTGATAAAGAGATGACATCAGAATCTATAAATAAAGAATATATTAATGCATCTGTGATGTCATTTTCCGATCCAAAATTCCTTGAATTAAACAGTACAAATTCTCAATCAGAATGTTGTATAGAACAAACATCTAATAAACAACATACAATTATTCTAGAAACTAACAGTTCATCTGTACAAGTTTTAAATGAATCACAAATGATCAAATCAAATGATAATACAGTTCATACTGAAATAACTCATATAAGTAGTACAATTCCAGTAGATGATCATAATGAAACTTCAGAATACATTGAAAAAGTACAATTCAATAATAATAATAATGACACATTAATAGAACAATCATCTCTAAGAAAAGGAGATATCAGTGAAATGAGTACAGAGTTGACGTTATGTGATACAGAATTAAACATTGAACATCAAGATACTAACAAAAACTCACTAAAACAATCAAAAAAGAAACAAACGAAAACAAAACAGCCAATTGAAAAGAATATAAAAGTTGTTGAGAATCATAAAAATACTACTAATACTCCTGAATCTAATTCTTCTCAAATATCATCTATTCCTCAGAGTATAGCAACAACAATTGATATAAATCGAACTGTAGATTCTCCTCTATCCACTGATATAAAAATAACAGAACAAACACAACAACTAACAATATCACTGAGTTCAAATGATTTAGTTAGTCAACCTTCAGATGGATTCAGTAAAAAATCATCAACAAATAAAAAAACGAAGAAAGTGAAAATACAATCTAATGAATCAGATGATAATTACTTTTCACAGTCTACGCCTACCATATTACCGAATTCTTTGATACCGGTTAATGAAGTACATACTACTGAATATAGTAATAGTAGTAGTAGTAGTGGTAGAAACACTAAAAATAATTTCACATCAATATCAATTCCATTTTGTAAAACAATTTGTAAAGTTTCTCATGAAGAATTACAAAATTCTCTATGTCATAGAAATACATCTAACTTGAAAGCAAAGAATAAAAAACTTCATTTGAAACATAACAAATTAAAGAGTAGTAAAACAAACGTTTTTAATCAACTAGATGATACATTGAATAATAAATCTGTAATTAATGAAATAACAATGGGACAATCATCACAAATAGTTACTGAAGAAGAAACACAAGAAAATACTAGGAAACGACGTTTTCCTAAGTCTTTCATAACGCAAGTAAGTTAATATGTGTATGTGTGTGTTATAGTTCTCTCCTTTGAGCAAAACCCAGCTATTCCTATTGCTTAGTATTCTCGGACGCCAATTCACTCGACAAGTTCCCCCAAATCAGAACACGGTTGAACAGGAAAAGAGATTATATTCTAAATAACAAGATGAGATGGAAGTAAGAAGCACAATAGGAAATACGTTAGTAATATTTATAGTTTTCACATGAGAAGATTCCTAGTGTTCACTAAGTATTGGTTAACGCTGATTGGATAAGAATTAGCCAATCAGCGTGCGCCGACGCAAGCGTTCATAGAGCATGATTTAATCCAATTTATGTCCCGCTAACAGTGTGTAAACACAAACGAGATTATTATATGAAGTCATTCTTTCTGGTTTCATGCTTTGTAGGTATATATTCACCTTCAATGAAACTCATGGTGTGTAAAATGTTTTTGTTGAAAATTGTTGTATCTTAAGATTGAGTTCGATACAGGTATACAGTACTCACTAATTTTGAATTACCATGTTATATTATAGAATTACTATGTCTGAAAAACTCGATTAACTTGTTGATGTTTCCTGTTAGCTTATGATAAATTCTGTTTATGAACGTTTAACGATTCTTCTAATATGAATGCAAATGAATGGAAACTCGAATAGAATGAACATCTGTCATACAACAACATTTCAACTCTAATAATCTACATATCAACATGAGTTAGAGAAGACTGGACTGTTGGGATAATTTTATATTTAAAAAATAAGTTAAAAATTTAAAAAAAGGAACACTTTGTTTATGTCATAACATACAGTGACCTTGGGGGACATATTGAAATTAACAAACTAAAAATGATGACAGTCAGAGTTGTTGAAAAAAACATGAATTAGAAAAATGTCATCCAGTTTATTCTTTGAAGAAAGGACCTCCAAATACCTTGGTATGGTCATAGATGGAGAGAGTCCACTCCTCCTATTCAAATCCTTTCACATGGCCACACATATACAACCACTAACAGAGAAGTCATACTCACTGTCTTATCGAGAACTCAGTGTTGTCTACAAAATTCAGAGGACAAACAGAGAATGTCCAGCATATTAACCGGGTTGATGGGTACAGAGGACCAGCCCATAGGGGTTAGGATACCGTGATTCCAAACTAAAGGTGGACATGGGCTCTAGTATCGTGAAGGAACAAATGGCGTGTGAACCAAATGATGGTCACTGTCTACTGTCAGACTGCATCTCCTTACGTTGCTCCACTGCCTCGTGGATTAACAGAACGAATCCTGCGTGCTTGATTGTGGATGCACACGGGGGATTCGTGTTACTGAGGATCCCTATACTAGGACGAAACAGTCGCCCAGTGCTTCCATGTTTTCAATACTGGTCTAACATTGATCGATTTATGATCTCAATCAAAGAGTTGATAATAGTAATTGCTTTCATTATTTGTTTACCATCTTTTCACCTTCTTTCGAATTTATTTTGTTCATCTGTTTTCTTTTAGTTTGTAAAATATTTAATTATTAAAATATGGTCAACTAAGAGGTTTTAATTGGTTCATTATCATCACCATTCCAAAATATTTTCAGGTCTTTCAACCATACCTCTGGTTATATGTGCTCGTATCTTCTATATTAATCGATAAAATAAATCGATTTCCTTTAGTTATTTATTGATCAATTGATTACAGTAATAATCGGTCGGTCTTTTTGAAGTACACAGTAGGAAGTCATCGAATCAGAATTAGTGTCTATGGTTACAATCTACAATCAATTGCCGAATAAGCAATTAAAATTCAAGGATGTTTGCTTGAACTATACAGCAAGAATCCTTTAACATCAAGATTGAAGATATGTCTTTCTGATGAGTATCGGAACATCTAGTTCTAAAACTTTCCAACAGTTAACTTAAATCATTTTTCCTCACCAGGTTTGTGTAAAATAAAGTTTCTCATCATAATTAGGTCCATTCTTTTGTGTAGTAATTTCTTTTAAATATTACCTTATCTTTCATGATTCAGAACAGAATACTGGATATATTTCTGCATAAACTAAGTGTAAATGTTATTATCTAGAATAACAATGAAATTTCGTTAATTATAGCACCTAGCACAAAGAACATAACGTTGTCAAAGGTATCCTACTGAAGTGCAACTGTCTACTATTTCAGTACTGAATATGCTAGACACAAATCAATTGTTAATAATTTGATTACTTAGGGTTTCAATGGTCTTAGACTTAAAGCGTACAAAATGAAATAATCATTTAAGATGTCCTGATTTCTATTATCTTCACAGTACTTACTTATTTACTTACTTACTTACACCTGTTACTCGTCGTAGAGTAGCATGGGCTGCCTACCAGCAATCTTCACAGTAATGTTCATCAAAATTTAAAAAAACAGAAGTACAATGATTTGAATCAGTAAGAAGTTCTTCATGTATCTTTTTGACTTCTTCCCATACATTTTTACATTTTTTTTTACACACAGCTCATCATAACATTATCATCTTCTATTTTCCTTTTGTATCCTAGGTTGATCCAAAATATATTCGTTCTGCTCGTTTAGCTGCTAAACGAAGAAAAACTGATTCAACTAATAAAGCAAAAGAAACATCATCATCACCATCATCATCTACAGATAAAAGAAAGACATCAATTAAACAGGAATCTAAGAAAATATTGAAAAAATGGCGTCTACGACCAAGTTTAAGAGAAAATGGTGTAATTGTTATATTATTAGCTGGACGACATCGTGGTAAACGTGTAGTTAGTTTAGGTAGACAAAAATCAACAGGTCTTTTACTTGTCACTGGACCATATTGTTATAATGGTTGTCCATTACGTCGTGTTCATCCAGATTATGTGATTGCTACTAAAACAAAAATTGATTTAAGTAGTGTAAGTTGTTGTTGGTATTTTAATTAATTTGAAAAAACGTTTAATGTTCACTGAATAATGGATGTTTAACTTCATCCAGCCCTCCCTTCTATTGATTAAGGTATGACGATATATATTAACTCAAGAATTACTGCAATTATTATTTTTTATGTGACGGCAGAAGTAAACGGATTTTTTTCTTTTTGGAGGCGCTAATGTGATTGGACTGTAAGACAGCGGGGACAAAGTGAGAGAGAGGAGAGAGGGAGCATTTCTATTGATCAATGATTTTCGATTAAACGACGATACGATGATAGTGAGATAAAAGCCGATGATAAAACTTAATGATTATTGTAAGCAAAGATAGACGGTAGCTAATAGTGGAATCTAGGACGTATTTTTCGTCTTATTTGAGACTTGTCAGCTGAATGTACCTACATCTCAGAATTGATATTCATTCTGAGAATCAAAAACATCACCCTGTTGTACATGCTGGTGGCTATAAGGACTCAGTAGCTAAATGGATAACGCTATGGCGTTAGAAGTAAACGGTACTGTGTTCGAGTCCCGGAGTGAACATCAACTCTGAGATGCAGGTACATCCATCAGACAAGTCCCAAATAAGATGAAACGCGTATCCTGGATCTCACTGCTAGCCACCATCCATCTTTGCTTACAATTCTTGTGAGTTGGGGTAATATCGAGACAATCTTCTCAAGATACACATATGCTAATAAGAGACTGAATAATTGCAGTCTTAAACATCAATGGGAAGATTCAAACATACAATGCAAAAGAGAATTAATGATTATTGGTTTAAAATGTAGTTTTTCCTCTTCGTTCACCTGATAGCCAGAATGGAACGCAACCCAACAAGCAGACAACTTCTAATTAAGGAGTTTTAATTTATGAATCACTTATATGATGATATAAAGTACAGTTCTGACCACAAATTAACACAATTTAGAAAGTAAATATGGGTGTGACCATGTCGTAAGTGGAAGAGGACTGAGCAATAGGTCTGTAATAAATTAACAATAACATAGAAAAGATAATTATCGAGTATCAGATGTTGGATAGTAAGGCAAACATAAATATTTCTCTTCCACTATGACATGTTGATTTTTAGACATACATGGACAGGCACATAACTACTGTGCATGGTTCTATTTCATTTCATAAGACGGTAATTTGTAGTAGTATTGAGTTTTAAGTGGATTAGACATCAAGTAAGTCTTTCGGAAACCTGAATACCATAGCTTGATACTCTAGTGAAATCATTCACATTAGTCAATTACAAATGATTGTCTTGATCAATAGTGTCGTCGATCATTTATATACGGCACGAGTCAGTCGATTTTGCTCCAACTTATTTACTTAATTTACTGAACTCTTAATTATAAACAATAGAGATGTGCACTGCAATCTATTACTGAAATATATGTTTAAAAACAACGAGATTAGTTATATAAGAAAACGACCAGGGATCAATCGAACTATTGAAGTATAACAGAGTAGGCTGTCAGTTAAGTCCTAGTGAGAGAGAGAGAGAGAGATCTTAGGTATACATTTCTATTGGATCCCAAACTACAACAACACTATCACAAGTTCTCATGTTAAAATAACTTTAGATTTTGACTTTCTAAGCTTCAAGTTATAAATGTCTGGTTGTGATCTGGTTGCGAAGGGGTCTTTAATCTAAACCAATTTATTGTTTAGTGCAAAATCCCAGTGACTTAGTAGAATATGAAAATCATACATTAAATACATCATTTGCACAGCTTGTTTGTGTTGTCGTTTACATACTCTATCATTTTTCTGATTCTGTTGTTATTTTGATTGCTCTCCGTTTTCTTTCCTGTTCTCTTCATTTCAACATTATGCTGTTAGACATTCCACTTCCGATTGGTTCTATATACTACTTATATCTGTCAGCATAGGTAGCATACACCAAACTATCACTTTGACTCATTCTAATCTTGATGTTACCTGATTTTGACTGTACTACCGAAATGATTAACAAATAATTATTTAGAATTAAGATTTAATAGTTTTTACTATAGGATCATATGGGTCTCGATGGTATTCAATGATCTAAACAACCCCATAATGATAATTACCATATCCTCACTAATGAATAGCTTCCAGAAGAGATTTCGAGAGTTTTATTAATAAGATATGACCAGCGGAGTTCAACTATGTTGATTATGAGATAGTTATTTAACTGAAGCATTTGAAGATAATGGCACAATATTGTGAATGGACTGGAGTTATACATGTACACTGTTCGATCCTGGCTCAGTGATCTATAGATAAAGTACTCATTCATGAGACTAAATGTCTTGCATTCGACCCCCGAAGTTTGGGTCGTGGATGCGCACTGTTATTGCGTTCCATGCTAGAGGGAAACAGATGTCTAATGCTTTCAAACTTTTAATGATTTATTTATTTAAACACATAAACAATGGTACATGGGTATATCAAATACACATGCGCCACACAATAACAACGAGGCCAGTAGTAGTTATCATTGATTTGTAAGGGGGTTGTGATACTAACCGGGTGCCAAAAATCAAAGCAAGTGGCTTACTTACGGGGGCCAATCCACGAGCCTTTCACCTAAAGGCCTAATCCACAAGGCAGTGGAGCAACGTAAGTGGATGCAGTCTGACAGTAGACAGTGACCATCATTTGGTTCACACGTCATTTTTTCTCTCACGATCCTAGAGCCCATGTCCACCTTTAGTTTGGAATCAGGATTTCCTAACTCCCATGTGTTGGTCTTCCGTACCCATCAACCCGGTTAATATGCTGGACATTCTCTGTTTGTCCTCTGAATTTTGTAGACAACACTGAGTTCTCGATAAGACAGTGAGTATGACTTCTCTGTTAGTGGTTGTATATGTGTGGCCATGTGAAAGGATTTGAATAGGAGGAGTGGACTCTCTCCACCTTTGACCGTACTAAAGTAGTTGGGGGGGGGCTTATTAAGATCAGTTCATGATTTCAATCACATAGAATTTGGTTTAACTTTAGATTGTTATTATTTGATAATTAAATATTCCAAGAGTATCCCCCTAATTTTAATAGTTATAGAGTTTACTTTTCCTTCTATATTTCTCTTTCATCATCACAGTTATCACTTCCTGAAAGAATTCACACTAAAAAATATTTCACTAGAACTACCAAATGTAAAAGTTTCAAAACAAAACATAATCATAATCATTTTGATGAGATTCTTGAACATGGTATTAATGCTAAAAGATCAGCTTATAAACCAAATGATGAAAAGAAAACTGATCAAATCTATATAGATAATGAAGTGAGAAAGGCGATCAAATCTCATACAGATTCCAAGTTATTAATTGGCTATTTGAAATCATTATTCTCAATTGGAAAACATGATAAACCACATGAAATGTTGTTCTAGTAAAATGTAAACACATTCAATCAATCATATACATACACACAACATTTAGATAAACAATAATACATATATAAACAAACAAACTACACAAATAGACCTTCCGAAAACATACTAACTCCTCTTTACTATACTACTAATACCACTACTACTACTACTAAGAACTACAGATACAACACTCATTATAAATGAAGCATTTCAACATGCAACCTAAATGTAATTCACCTCTTTCATTTACCACTCTTTCGGATGTACTTCTTCTTGAGTCTTTTTTCTTCGCTGAACAAAATTCAGAACAGATAATAAATAATGATTAACTGTTCAATGTTTAAAACAAAATCATATTCTTAGGTTGATTTTGTCTTGTTACCTTTTGATGTTATTTTCTTGTTGTAAACTTGTGTCTTTTTGTTTCTTTTTTGTCTTCCTTTATCTGTGTCTATTTTTCAAATGTGTTCAGTTCACGTTTTTTTGTTTCGAAACCAAAATAAATCTCATTTCTGGATTGAAATTTAGTACTTTTTATGAAGTGGAATTTTCTTGGTCTGTAAAATTGATACAACTTGATAATACTACTTAATACGAAATGAGTAACTTAATTTCAATGTTTAAATTAGCACGTTTCAGAAACTTTCTTAGTCAAGTTGAGCGATTATTTGATTGGAGCTTGTGTGCATGGATTCTAAAGTATTGAGGTTTCGTTTTACCAGAAGATATACAAGGAGAAAGATATGAATGAAGTGGATAGTTAGTATCTGATAAGATAATACCTTTCAGGAGTTTGCAAGATTTTAGATATCTATCCACAACCATATTATTAATGACCTCAAAAGATTCGCCACGCACTTTTCTAACTACCTACAGCACTATCCACAATACAACAAAGTCTTTTCTCAAAAGTACGGGAAAGAATAATAGAGAACAGTAATGAATAATAGATAGTATGCAGGAAACGACATATTATGAGAGTGGATGTCGAGTAATCTCAAAAGCATATAGCCTCTTTATGTAGTAAGTCAAAGAGAAAACTTACTTCGATCACATTGAAACATGAGAAAACCGAGAGAGTTCAGAGGAATAGGTTATAGTAACATAATTGACATTCAAAGTTGTGTTTATCAAAGAATCTCCAATAATATAAGCATTATAGAATTCCAACAGGGTGTTTAGATGCTGTTCATGTCTCAGGTTAAAGTTAACAAATCATTTCATCCATAGATATAAAATATGATCAACATTTTATAAGTTGTCAAACATTCATTCAGGGATGAAGTCAACTTTGCTTAGACATTTGAATAACCTACTTTTTAGAATGAATAATTGACTGACAAGTCTCTTGAAGTAGGATTAGTTTTGTAAATTGATTCGGAGTATTATAGTCATATTTTAATTATGTCCTACAACCGACCAGTACTCAGCAAGGACAAGGAAGACTGATACTTTATGTCTGAAGGTTAGCCGTGAATAGAGATAAAGAACACAATACCAATACTCTCCAGTTAAACATCGTTACTGTATTTTAAGTATATATATAAGGGAAAAAACAAGATCCCTAAATACAGTACGAAGAACACCAACCCAATCATACTTGATGAAGGAGCTTTGGGAGATGTGGAATCTTTCACGTACCTGTGGAGCATCATCGATGGACGAGGAGGATCCGATGTTGGCGTGAAAATCAATTCAAAACAGAATATTTAAAACAACCTATTGTGTTATTGAATAAAAGCAAAGGGAATTCGGCGAAGAAAATTTTCTTTTCGATGAAATCACTTACTTAAGCTGTACATTCGTATTTATAGGTATATGGTAGATATAAGTCTATAGAACGATTAAAAAAGATGGTTCTTTACAGAGATCTATATAAAGAAAACCAACTTGGAATGGATAGTATACGAATTTCCATATCTGGATTCCATTGAGCAGAAAGAGATACTTAATTCATTCTTTATCCTCAAGGATTAAGCGTATATGTCCTAATAGCACATTATATGACGAGCTACTTTATTTTCGACGGATACTCATCAGAAATAGTTATCCAACTAGATTCGTCAATAGAAAATTAACACCTAGACAGCATACTGGAAAAGCACTGACAATTCAAAAGAAAACTTTTTATGAATATCAAATTCAAAGAAGATACGTTTGCTGAAGTTTTGAATAAGCTGATTTCAAAATCCATGAGTAAAATCTTGAAGTAAAGGATCCTTTCCACATTTTTTTCCTTTTCTCTCATGTCCAAGTTGGATAGTGGCTAACAGTGGAATCTAGGACACCTGTTTGGTCCTATTTGGGACTCGTCAGCTGGATATACTCGCATCTCAGAGTTGATGTTCGTTCTGGGACATTTCTGTCGAATATCTTCTACCAATTTCTTGTTAAACAAACCAGTATTTGCTTTCACTCTCAACTTCGTAATCTTCTCAGTAATATATAAATGCGTGTATTCTCGACTAGGGTCGTCTTAGAGGTCGTGTTTTAGGAAGTTAATAAATCTTAACTTATAGCAGTCTTTGCATTCTTACTTTCGAGTTGTAGGAATTGTAGAGGTCCCTCGTTTCGGGTATAAGTGATAAGCGATTCCAACATAATAATCAATGACGACCAGATATAACAAGTAGCGTTCAATCGACAAGATATACCAATCTTCTACCAATTTATTACTAAACAAACCAGTATTTGCTTCTACTCTCAACTTGGTAATCTTCTCAACATAACTCAACTCAATTGTCAATGATTTCATGGATTAATGTCATTTTGTAACTCAGTATTCTAGTAATAATCATTATCAACGCTTAGTCAAGATAAAGATGAACAGGATAATATCCACTGAAATCCGATTTAATTTAATCGGTTAACTCTAAGTAAACTTAAGTATACTGTTATGACTAACCAATCTTATCGTAACTCTCATCTATTACTTAATCATATAAACACATTATAACGTAATGACACCGCCAATTGGAAAAAACAATGATTTATCGACCGGACTAGTGACGCATAAAACTCGTATGAGCAGTCTACAGTCTTTATCGTTCCTTCTCCCTGCTTAGACCTGCCTGTTCGAGTACAGAACATCAATCTCAGCCTCTGTGATATGAATCATGTATTTCTAACATACTGTATTTATATAAAAACCAAACAGACCACATCGTACCAAGATTTAACCAAAAGTGGATGTGAATGTGGGAGACTGTAGTTAATAGACCGGGGTATAACTCTCGAACGGTAAATCGTATAATAGTAGTCTATGGGTCAAAATAAAGCTTATAATAAAGAGGGACATGAATATACATAGTTTAGTTAATTGGCAATTATATCACAAAAGATATATGTATGGTATTAGTTCAGAAATAGATCTCAACAGTAACTATTCATTATTCTCATCGGGATATAACATACATGAATAGATCAATTTGAGCTCCATTTTGTTAACTAAATTGGAAAGTTTTCATCACAAGTCTGTGTATCATTGAGTGTGGTTGACAATAAACCAGATCATTTTTTAAACAAACTTATTCAAGCATAATCATTCATTGTCATACTTTTACAACATTCAATATTAAAAAAGAAATAAGAATGTTTAGTTATCATTCATGTAGAAAAAGTCTAATAAACGACGTTTTTTCTATGTCTCAAATAGGATGAAACACGCGCCCTATATTCCACTGCTAGCCACTATCCAACTTGGACATGAGAGAAAAGGAGTGAAATTTGGAAAGGATCCTTTACTTCAAGATTTTATTCAGGAATTTTGAAATCAGCTTATTTAAAACTTCAGCAATGACGACTATAATGATAGTTTGGTGTATAAGTTAATGACATATCAATGTTCAATAGCTTATCAGTCTGTTACATTTATCAATTATTATTATTTACAGTTGAAATCACGAGTTGGTGTAAGCTAAACTATCAGTGAAAACCTGGAAGTACAGAATGGCTCTTTTGTCCTAGTATGGGACTCTCCAGCAATGCATACTTACGATTCCTCACGCGGGACTCGAACCCAGGACCTTTATTATTTAGTATTGAAAGTTATAAGCAAAGTTTTTATTGATATTTGACTACATTTAAACAATTTATTTGTGAAAACTATATTTTCAGAATGGGGTTTTTGTGGAGATCGTAGTAATTTTAATAGTTGGATTCCTGAATCAATGTAAGTTAGACCGCCATGGAAAGCCTGGACGCACTGGACAGCCGTTTTGTCCTTGTATGAGACTCCTTAACAGTGCGCGTCCACGATCCCACACGTGGAATTCGAACCCAAGGCCTTCGGTCTCGCGCGCGAACGCATAACCTATGGACATCAAGCTTAGATCGACTAATGATTTCAAGTATTAAAATTACTACAATTTCTCTAAAAACCCCATCCTAATCATAATCATGATATACTCACTAGTGACTGACTCCAAGATGGTTTCCTAGAGTTCTAATGAGAATCTGTGACCAGTGAAGTCCAATCCGTGTCACATAGAGACAGGTATCTACCTCAAACAATGGATGAATCGTTACGCCGACATTCATGGATCGATGGAATTAAGACATTGCCAATATTAGATGCCGACACAGTGGTTTACAGGTTAGACGTTCGCATGCGAGACTGAAGGTCTTGGATTTTAGTCCCACGTACGGGGCTCTTGATGTACATTTCCGAGGGGTCGCATACTAGAACGAAATGGCTGTCTAGTGCTTTCAGGTCTCCACTGATGGTCTAACATCAATCAATTCACAATCTCAATCAAAAATTATGTAAGAGTCGCTGACCCCCAATGATTCCTTAACGGATGATTTTTATGAGAAAACAACATTCAAGGTAAAATTTAAAAAAATTCGTTAAACATACATTTTAATGATGTTAATGATTTGGAATTGTTTACAATCATTATGCTAATGTATAATGATTCCAAATGAAAATGAAACTGGGTGACCTGTGCAATAAAAGTATATTTATTTTCTCAATTATTTACTTATTTTCTAATAGTTGAATTCCTGAGTTAGTGTAAGCTAGTTCATCTTGGAAAACCTGGAAGCACTGAACGATCGTTTCGTCTTAGCATGTGACTCCTCAACAGTGCGCGTCCACGATTCCACACGTGGGACTCAAACTCAGGACCTGTCAGTCTCGCGTGCGAACGCTTAACCTCTAGACCACTAAGCCAACATCCAATGATGTTAATGTCTAATTTCAACCAATTTATTTATTTATTTGCAAACAACTGAGGTAAATTTGTAACATTAGCATAAGGCATAGAAAGGTAGTTGGATTTTCC